CTTACTGGTGCACTGCTCTCCACTCCTTCAAGTTATGCAGTACTATGGACTCTAGATGTGATTACTGCTATTAATTTTGTGCAAATTGGTGGTGGTGTTGGTCCAGTGTTCATATACTTCGTCATAATCTTCGTTGTATCACACTAAAGCCACTCATGTTCGCTTTCAGTCTCGGAAGTATTGGATAAAACACGGTAATTCTCAATAAACCTAACACCGCTGTCACATAGCTGCCAGTGACTTCATCTGCCGCTCTACACCTCACGAACCTCTACTTACCCATTAGATGCAAAACAACTACTGTGAAAGAATAGTGAAACTCCAAGCACTTTCGTGACTTCTCACATTATCAAGGAACTATCATGTGATTGTTTTGCATATTCTGAAATCACCTGTTTACTATGATTTTATTGCATTGCCCATTAGATATTTTCTCATGGATTTTGTCTTTGTATAAATTGGTGAATGTAGGTAATACAGGCAGAGGTGTAGTCCGTAATAAAGTCACAATTTTGGGTAGTTAAAAAATGACACGAAAGAAAAGACAAAATTTTGAGTAGTTAAAAAAGTCACTGAAGAAAAGTCACAAATTTTTAACACGTAAAAAATCTATGAAATAAAAGACAATTTTGGGTAGGTAAAAGAAAGACACTGGAAAAATAAAGTCACAGAATGCTTGTAGTTGGACATGTGTTTGACAGAATGTAGCCTAACCTAAACGTATGTAACTTAACCAAATGTAGCCTAAGCTAATGTAACTTAACCAAATGTAGCCCAAGCTAATGTAACTTAACCATACCTAACCCTAATGTAATCTAGCCGAATCTAATGTAACGTAACTTAACGTAATGTAGCCTAACGTAATGTAGCCTAACCTAATGTAGCCTAACCTAATTCTGTGTAGCCTAACGTAATCTAATGTAACATAACCAAATGCAGCCTAACCTAATGTAATGTAACCCAACCTAATGTAATCTAACCTGACGTAAACTAATGTAACCTAACCTAACCTAATGCAACCTTACCTAATCTAATGTAGCTAACCTAACCTAATCTAACGGAGCCTAATCTACCCTAGCTTAAATGGGTGTAGGAGAAAAAAAAGTGGAACATAACCTCCCCTTTCCCCACCTCAGGACAAAACCAGCCTTGTTACGAAAACTTGGGCAGCCCCGTAGGACAAAATTTCCCTAGGATGAAACAACTAAAGTGTAACATAAGGGAACCAAACCAAATCAAAACTAACCTAACAATTTAAACCAAGATGTATTTCAGTCGCTGTATATTCCGACAAAGGTATCCCTGTATTCCAAAAGCTCAGCCGCCTCTGCTTATGTCCTACTTAAAATTCTCCACAGTCACCTGAGAAATAATATTTGTTTTTCTTAATATTTTTTAGACAATCTAATTTGATGAAATTTCTCACCAAATGACAAACTGACATCCCACACATACCATAATCAGTATAATAATACTTTCAGTTAAGATCTCACAAGCGGTTAGGGTTTGTAGCCAATCAAAGAGGCGTGAAAAGGAAATTTTATAAACAGTATTGACAAACTGAAATTTAGATAGCCGATAGCTAACACTAAGCTTACTTTTAAAAATGCTTATCAGCGCTGATCAGAAAAAATAAATCTCCAGTAACTGATCCGATTCTAACGATTCCAAGTTTTTAAATAATTTCAGACCGAATTTCAGAATGGGCAAGAAACGTCGTGATCTAAGTGACTTGGACCGTGGAATGATTGTTGGTGCCAGACGGGGTGGTTTGAGCATCTCAGGAACTGTTATCCTGGGATTTTCACGCACTACAGTCTCTAGAATTTACTGAGAATGGTGTGAAAAACACAAAACTTCCATTGAGCTGCACTTCTGTGGGCGATAACGCTTTCTTAATGAGAGAGGTCAGAAGAGAATGGCTAGAGTGGCTCAAGCTAACAGGAAAGTGACAGTAATTTAAATAAAGATGCAATACAACAGTGGAATGAAGAAGAACATCTCTGGATGCACAACACGCCCAACCTTGAAGTGGATGGACTACGGCAACAGAAGACCACATCAGGTTCCACTCCTGTCAGCTAAGAACAGGAAAGTGAGGCTACAAGGGCTACAGGCTCAAGAACACTGGAAATATGAAACTTGGAAAACCGTCGTCTTCTCTGATGAATCAGGGTCAGAATTTGGCATAAACTTCAGGATGTGGTGGAATGGGAGATTCACATCAAGAATGTGCAGTTGGAAATTCTGTATTATTATTATAATAAAAAAGAAGCGCTAAGCCACAAGGACTATACAGCTGGAAATTCTGTAGCAATTGCGTGATGCTATCATGTCAACAGGGACTAGGATCACTAGGGAAAATTTCCAGCACCTTGTTCAATTTATGCCACGAATTCAAGATGTTCAGGGACTCTACCCAGTACTAGAAGGCTGTACCTAATAAAGTCTCAACTGATTGTATATTTCATTTGATTTAACGGGAATTAAAATTTAGCACTATTTTACAAGAAAAATGGGCAAATGTGAACCTACACACTCACCGTCGATAAAATAGGAGGAAATATTTTTGAACGTTTGATGCTATGCCGCAGAGGGTTTCGGAAATTTTCTGTGCAACAGCAGGATGCTGGGAATGTGTTCAATAAATCCGGTCACGGAGTTGAGGAACGAGACTGTAGAGGCGGACGACATACATAACTTAGGAAACAAAAAATACAGTAAACCTAAACGGTCATATGACCGAGAATTAAGAGGTGGCCCTATGAGATGTATTTTAACACTCAGAGGCTCATATTGGAAAATACACACAAATAAATACACATACACACTCTTGGAAATTTTTAAACATATAAACTAAACCCTGACCACAGAACACCACGAGCCTGGCTCTGTCCCTAAACCCATTAGGGTCATACAGAGCTGCAGGGCAGGGGGGGTGTTGCCTGGTTATAGCTATAGTAGCATGGGTAGCGAGGATAACAGAGGTAGAGTCAGAAAGGCTGTGAGGAGTGCTAAAGAAAGTATTATCAAAGTTTGTGTAATAAATCAGTTGCTGTCAAAAAGTCGAAGAAGGAGACTAAGTCAAAGGTGGGGCCGTCAGCAAGGAGGGAAGATAAAGTGAGGGTGTTAGAGCGCTGAAGACGTAGGAGTTAAATTTTGCGTGTTCGTTGAAAGACAGGACAGTCCAATAGAATATGGCAAACTGAAATTGGAACCTGACAATTCTCACATTATTATTATTATAATCAAAAAGAAGCGCTAAGCCACAAGGGCTACAATTCTCACAGAGTGGAACGGAGCGCCTCTCCATGAAATATCCGTGTGTGTGACTTGTATGCCGATGCGAAGACGGGAGGCGTAGTCTCCTAACCTCGGCATCGATGCTAAGGCCAGAAACCTAGACTTGGCTTGATAAAATATAATTTGTTATGAGTCATATGGGACCAGCATTAGGTAAAAGAACACTTTATCAAGCTTTATCAAGCGGTTACTGCTTGATAAAGCTCCTAGTGAGAGAAACGTTGCCACAATAAAATGTCACATTAGTTGTACCTGTGTCCTTTTACCTAACATATTATCGGCAGTTCTACCAACATTAATGGGACTAATATTGTTGCCAACGGCTGCGAAGATGGTCAGAGAAGTCCGACCCCCAGATAAAGTCTCTTTGGCGTCAATAGTGAAGAAAAGTATATTAATAAATAATACTGTGCTAAAGCCTACGTCTTATTCTCTCATATAATAACTGGGAACTTAAGTTATATTTTAATGCAAAGCCTAGGGAATGGGTGGAAACAGGTTTTGATTCGAGGAAGAGGATAGCTTCAATTCCTTGGATCAAGAATCCTTCAGCAGCACCGAAAAACCTTTTCCCTTGTAAATGGTGGGAATTACCATAGGTTTTTTCATGGGAGGTCTGGTCGAGAACCGGGCTGCAGGGGACATTGACCCCCGGAACCTCCAGGTAGACTCCAGGTAGGTAGGTCCTTATTCCTCCCCCAGAGACGTCACACAGGTAAGATCATCCGAATCAGCTAACAGTGACCACTGTCGTTAATGAATCGTCTCGCAGCGCCTGTGTAACTCGGATTACACTCTAGCCATCTTGTTGTCCAACTGTGTTTACATATGCAATTAAAATATTCTGTTCACTCGTGACGCCATTGTGCATGGCTTGCATTCGTGACGTCATTATGTAATGCTTGGCAATGTTTGCACTCGTTACGTCATAATGCGAGACTATTTTTGCACTCGTGGTGTCATAATACGCGGCTATGTTTACACTCGTGACGTCATAATGCGCGGCTATGTTTACACTCGTGACATCTTAATATGCGGCTATTATGTTTCCACTCGCGACGTCATGCGCGACTATGTTTACACTCGTGACGTCATAATGCGCGGCTATGTTTACACTCGTGACATCTTAATATGCGGCTATTATGTTTCCACTCGCGACGTCATGCGCGACTATGTTTACACTCGTGACGTCATAATGTGTCACTATGCTTACACTCGCAACGTCATAATGCATGACTATGTTTACACTTCTAACGTCATACGTGGCTATGATTACACTTGTGGCTACACGATTCCCTGACTTTTATACTCGCTGCTTTGTAATGCCCAGTTTATATTTACACCCTAAACGTGGTAATACCTTGCTACATACACCACAGTAATTTTCATATACATAAATGCACAATACCGTGACTGGAACAATATATAAATAACCCGCACATAGGAGGAGCTTACGACGACTTTGTAAATGGTCCAAGTCGGACCGAAACGTCGTCGTAAGCGTCGCTGTTTATTTATGCATCACTAGTAATATTTACGGGAAGGCGTTAAACCCGTAGAGGTTATATAGCATCTGAGGGAATAGGAGGCAATCTGATTCAATAAAAAAAAAAAAAAAAGAGAAGGAAAAGCCTAATTCATTCTTTCCTAATTCCAGGTTGTGATATCTTTTTTTTTTAATACGAAAATTGTCTCAC